CCTTCTGACTCGCGTGTGCTTGTCCCTCCTCCTTCTGACTCGTGTGTGCTTGTCCCTGCTCCTTCTGACTCGTGTGTGCTTGTCCCTCCTCCTTCTGACTCACGTGCTGCTCACACCTTTCATCCTCCTTCTGACTCTCACGTACCGCTTTCTCCTCCTCCTGACTCTCGTGTGCTGCTCCTGGCTTCCTTCCTCCTTCTGACACTCGCATGCTGTTCTGAGCCTTCCTCCTCCTTCTGACTCTTACAAGCTGTTCTGAGCCTTCCTCCTCCTCCTGACTCTCGTGTGCTGGTCCCTCCTCCTTCTGACTCTTGCGTGCTAGTCCCCCCTCCTTCTGACTCTCATGTGCTCCCAGCTTTGCCTCTTCCTTCTGAGTCTCGCGTGCTGCTCCTGGCTTCCCTCCTCCTCCTGACTCTCGTGCTGCTCCTGGCTTCCTTCCTCCTTCTGACACTCGCATGCTGCTCCTGGCTTTCCCTCCTCCTCCTGACTCTCATGTGCTGCTCCCAGCCTTCCCTCCTCCTTCTGACTCTCGCAAGCTGTTCTGAACCTTCCTCCTCCTCCTGACTCTCGTGTGCTGGTCCCTCCTCCTTCGGACTGTTGCACGCTGGTCCCCTCTCCTTCTGATTCTTCATGTGCTCCCAGCTTTGCCTCTTCCTTCTGACTCTCGCGTGCTGCTCCCGGCTTCCCTCCTCTTTCTGACTCTCAGAGGCTGCTCTCAGACAACAGTGTGAAGGGTCCCTGGACACACATTTGTTGCCTGCCATATCCACGGAGCCCAGCACACAGCGGGCCTGCAGGAGGTGTTTGTTGAATGAATCCGCATCAGTCAGTGTGATGACAGGGTTGACCATATCTCTGGGCCAGTTTATCTACTAACGTAAGAGCGGTTTCTAAGGCCAAAATGACACACATAAATCACCCTTGGGGATTTTGGAGGACTTTTGTGGTCCACCAACAACTCCAAGATTTTTTTTTTTTTTTAAGTGTATTTATTTTGAGACAGAGAGTGCAAGCTCGGGAGGGCTAGAGAGAGAGATAACCTCAGGCAGGCCCTGCCTGCCAGCACAGAGCCCGACACGGAGCTCGAACCTACTACGCCGTGAGACCGTGACCTGGGCCAAAATCAAGATCGAGACGCTCAACCGACTGAGCCACCCAGGCTCCCCTCCAAGATTATTTTTAAGTTCTGTTTGTCTACACTGGGACCATTGTATGCTGACCCAGCAACATCCGATGGATTTAAATGCTGTAACGACTTTCTATTTAAAACTTTGTTTTTTTTAGAGTGGTTTTAGGGTCACAGCTAAATTGAGAGGAAGGTACAGAACTCTCCCACTTACCAGCTGCCCCCCACACGCATCACCCTCCCCACTGGCGGTGCACCTGTCCCTACGGCTGTTGACCCACACTGACAGGCCAGCACCATCCAGAGACCAGGTTCCGTGAGGCTCTCTCTAGGCGGCCGCGCACGGACGTGTGACCTGGGCCCACCATTCCAGAGCCACACAGAATAGTCCCAGTGCCGTGTGTGCTCTGCCTGAAGCCTCCCACCCCGACAGCCACTGGTCTGTTACCGTCTCCATAGTTGGGCCTTTTCCAGAGTGTCACAGAGTCAGAGTGCTACAGTATGAAGCCTTCCCAGACCGGCTCGTTCACTTGCTAACGCGTTTACGGTGCTTCCGCGTCTTTTCGTGGCTTCACAGCTCACTTCTTCTCAGCACTGAATAATCCACCGTCTAGACAGACCCCCGTTATTCACCCGTCCGGCTGCTGAAGGACAGTTACGGACAAAGCTGCTGTAAATATACGTGTGCACATAAGGCTTCAGCTCCTTCGGGTAGATAGCAAGTGGCACGATTGCGGGGTCGCGTGGTGAGAACGTTACTAGTCCTGTCACGAGTCTCACCAACCTGTCTTGCAAGGCGGCTTCCCCGTCCCGCGTTGCCGCCGGCAGGGCCTGGGGTTCCTGCTGCTCCGCCTCCTTGCCAGCGTCCGCCGTGACGTGTTGTGGGCCGTGGCCCTTGCGACAGGCGCGTGGTGGCGTCCCCTTGCTGTTTTGTTCCACGTTTCCTGGAGGACACGCAACGTGGAGCCTCGTGTCCGGTGCCTGTCTGTGCTCTGTGTCTTTCCCCTACTGGGGTGTCGTTAGGTCTTCGGCTCATTTCTTGCTTGGATTGTTCTCACGTTGGTGAGCGTTTGGAGTTCTTCGTGCATCTGGATAACAGTCCTTTATCAGATGTGCCTTCTGTGAACTGTCTCCCGGCCCGAGGCTTTGCCTTCTCAGTCTCTCGACGCTGCCTTTTGTGGAGCACGAGTGTTGAAGGTAATGACGTCCAGCCCATCAGTTACTTCTTCCGTGGGTCTTACCTTCGGTGTTGTGTCCAAAAGTCATCGCCACACCCAGGGTCCCCTAGGTTCTCTTCTGCGTTCTCTTCCAGGAGTCCTGTACTTTTTCATTCTTTGCCCAGTTTCACGTTTAGGTCTGTGATCTGTCTTGAGTTAGCTTTTGTGAAGGACGTAAAGTCTGTGTCTAGATTCTTTTTTCCCCCGGCACGTGCACTCCCACTCGTCCCGGTTCCGTTTATTGGAACGGAGCCTCTGTGCCCTGTTGGGTGACCAGGTCTGCGTCTGGGTCTCTGTCCTGGCCCATCGATCTATCTGTTCCTTCAACAGGACCACACTGTCTTCGCTACTCTGGCTTTATAGAAACTCTTAAAGTCAGAATGTGTCAGTTCTCCAACTTCGTTCTCCTTCAGTGTTGCGTTGGCTCTTCTGGGACTTTACATTCACTTAATCAGTATCTGAAAAATGACCTGCTGGCATTTTTATTGTGATTGCCTTAAATCTATAGATCAAGTTGGGGAGAACTGACATCTTGACAATATTGAGCTTTCCTACCCTTGAACATGAAATTCACATAATGGCTGTCCCATTTATTTTATTTTGTTCTTTTTTCTTTCGTTTATATACTACCTTTGGTTTAGTTTTTACTTCTTTTTCTTATTGTACTCAGTAGGACTTCCGGTACAATGTTGAAAAGGAGTGGCAATTTGGGATCTTCGTGGAAAAGCTTTGAGTTTCTCGCCATTAAGTATGACTTTAGCTCTGAGGTTTTTTATAGATTTTCTTTATTGTGTTGAGGAGGTGCCCCTCTATTCCTAGTTTGCTGAGAATTTTTACCATGAATGGGTACCGGCGTTTGTCAAAATGCTATTTATGTGACCATATGATTTTCTTTTTCAGCCTATTGATGCTATGGATTACATTAATTGATTTTGGAATATTGAACCATCTTGCATTTGGGCTTCATGCATCATTCTTTTTAAACACTATTGGATTCGATTTGCTACTATTTTGTTGAGGATTTTTGCATCTGTGTCCATGAGAGGTAACCATCCGTGGCTTCCTTTTCTTGTGATGTCTTTGTCTGGTTTTGTATCCGGGTCATGCTGGCCTCGTAGAGTGACTTAGGAAGCTTCTATCCTCTGGAAGAGATGGTAGGCAGTTGGTGTAATTTCTTCCTGAAAGTTTGGTGCACCAGTGAACCCATCTGGGGCTGGTGCTTTCTGCTTGGGGAGGTTATTAATTATTGAGGGTTTCTTGGATCCATGTAGGTCTGTGGAGATTGTTTGTTCCTGTGTGAGTGTCTTTCAGGGAAGGGGTTCGTCCACCCCGTCGGGGTCACATCACATCTGCGGTCCAGGACTTGGTCAGAGGACGCCAGCTTTTGGTTCTGTTGATTTTCTTCATTGGTTTCTGCTTTTAGAATTCTTACTTCCTTTCTTCTGCTTACTTTGGATTTGCCTTTCTTTTTCTAGTTTCCTAAGGTGGTAAAGGAGAATATCGACTTGTAGATCTTTCTGCGTGCCTCACGCAGGCACTCGATGCTGTGAGTCCCCTCCAGGCACTGCTTTCGCCACATCCTACGATTTTGGGTTAAGTTGTGTTTTCATTTTCATTTAGTTCAGAAAGTCTTTCGTTTCTTTTGAGATTTCTTCTTTGACTATTGTGCTATTTAGAAACGTGTTGTTTAATCTCCACGTGTTTGGGGATTTTTCCAGCTTACGTCTCTTTCATTGATTTCTGGTTTAACTCTGTTGTGTTCTGAGAGCAGACATCGTAGGACTGGTGTTTTTTTAATTTGTTGCGGTGTTTTTCACGGCCTGGAACATGGTCTGTCCTGGTGAGTGTGCCACAAGAGCTTGAGAAGGACTTGTATTCGGATGCCGTTGGACAGAGTCGTCTGCACATATCCATCGTAGCCAGTGATGGGTGGTGCCGTTGTTAAGCCGCGTCCTCACTGGTTCTCTGCTGGCCGGGTCTGTCCATCTCTGACACAGAGTGTGGAGGTCTCTAGACACAGTGTGGATCGACCTGCCTCACGTGGTTTGGCGCTCTGCTATTAGGCACGTACGTGCACAGGCTCGTTGGTCGCGTGGAGATCTGACCCTTTGTCATTAGGTAGCGTGTGGCCGCTCAGTCCCTTTTCATAAGCAGGAATTGGTTTCGTGTTTATTTCTGGCGTGTTGATGGTGTTTTGCTGTTTTACAGAGGTCCTCAAAGCAGGCAGTGTCCTGTTCCCTGAGCTCCTGGCTAGAGAGACAGAGGCTGTCATCCACAAGCACCGCTCTCCTGCCCTCTGCCAGCAGCTGCTACAGCACCTGCAGGCCCAGCCGCCCGCCCAGTGAGCAGCAGCCAGCGCGGAGCGAGCCCCGAGCTCCCGTCCTCCCCTGGGCCGGGGCCGGGGCCGGGGCCTCTCCACCTCACAACACGGCACCTTTGTGTCAACGACCTAGGACACTCACAGGCAAGACTTTGATAGCAAGAGTATTGCAGGAAACGTGTGGTGTGCAAGATTCTCCCAAGACACTTCTCCGGCCCGGCAGTTTCTGAAGTAACATTCGCTGAGCGGCTTCTGTACTGTCCTGTCTCATTTATTACAGTCCATTGACAGATCTCCCCAAAATCTGCGGGTAATTTGAAAGTGGAACGAGATGGCACCTGCTCACCCTGGCAGCCAAAGCATCCTGTTTGTTTCAAAGCTACGTGCACCTGCTACGTTCGTGGGTCAGTATCTCTGTCTTGCGTAAATGCCCGCCTCACCGAGAAAGTTCTTGACTATTTTTCTTTCAAGCAAAAGTTATTAAAAAGAAATTTTTTTCTTTCTTTGTGTTGTGTCTACTAAAACTTAGCATCACAGTGAACAGTCTAAAAGGAATTTGAAATCTTTATCAGTTACAGTTTTCCGTGTAAAATATCCTGGAACTCGGAGTGTTAGTGGATACATTCGGTCATGATATTTTTTTCTTAGGTCATTGTGCAAACAGTGTTGAAAATACAATGTTTTATCGGATGTAATTTTGGTAGCTCTCTCATATAAGCAGCAGTAAAGTAAAATGGGGTTTTATTCTCTAGCACTTTCTACACCCAAGTGCCTAAAAAATTTTATTTTAAATGGATATTATTTCCGTAAGCCAAATATTTATGTTACCAGGGAAAAAAATACTGTGTGTATTTTCTAACAATCAAATATGAACATTTATGCTTAGGTGTTTGAAAATTTAATTAAAAATATTTATTACAGTTATTTTGTATGCCTGTGTTAGTGTGCTTTAGTAGTTAATCAACATTTTTAGAAATCGCTTATTTTTCCCTTAGATCTCATCTCCCGGTGACCCCCGCCCCGAGACCTGGGTGGCGGGCCCCAGGCTCTCCCACTGCTCGGTGCAGTGTCCTCTCTGGACACCAGGTGGCAGGAGCTCCAAACCCCATCACGAGGCCGGCCGCCAAGCTCGTGGGGCCCTCCGCGGGCGCGCCTGAGTGTGCGGCTCAGGCAGGGAAAGCGGGCCTGGAGAGGCAGCGGGATACAAACCACGCCGGCCGCCAGGGAGAGGCAGGACGTTGTTTCTGCACATCTTCAAGGGGAAGTGTGCAGAGGCAGCAGGACAGTGAGTCAGTACCACTCGTGTGACGTGAGCAGGTGTGTGTCCAGAGAAAGACACAAAGGCTCAGCTGACGGGGTTAGCGATCTAAGTGCCTGAGAACCGACGTGTCCTTGGCAAGTGTTATGCACTCTTCGCTCAACTCCTCAAATGTTCATGGAGCCCTACCCTCCCTGTGCTGGTGGCCGAGGACAGGGACACGTAGAATTTGGTCCCTGAGGGGTGTCTGGGGATCTCAGCCAGTTAAGCATCCAACTCTTGATTTCGGTTCAGGTCATGATCTCATAATTTGTGGGATCAAGCCCCACATTGGGCTCAGTGCTGACGGTGTAGAGCCTGCTTGGGATCCTCTGTCTCTCTTTCTCTCTCTGCCCCTCCCCTTTTAGCACTCTCCCTCTCTCTCTCAAAATAAATAAAAAATAAACATTAAAAAAAAAACTGGTCCCTGAAAGTTTACAGCATTATTGAGATGTAATTTACGGAGCTGTGTGCCAACCACCGTGGCTGGTTCAGCACTGTATCGTGCGAGGGCCCCCACCCACCCAAACCCGTGTGCAGCCGATCCCTGCCCACATTCCCAGCCCCAGCAAGCACCGAGCTGCTCTGTGTCTAAAGTGGTGTGTGTTCCGGATGCCTCATATACGTGGGACCATATGATAGGTGGTCTTAGGCGTCTGGCTTTTTTCACTTAGCATAGTTTTTGAGGTTATCTATTCACACACTGGTTCGGGGATCGGCACCTCTTTCTGGAAAGGGCCAGAGGGTAAATATTTTAGGCTTTGTGGACCCAATTGTCCCAACTCTACTGTTTTCCATTCACCTGTTGATGGGCATTTAGGTTTGAGGCCATTATGAATAAAACCACTCTGAGCTCTGTGGTACGCGTAGATGATTCATGGCCATCGCTCTTGGGCGGGTACCTCTGAGTAGAATTACTAGGTCATATTTGATACGTGTTTGTAGCCCCGGTTGATGGATTTATTGGTATTTTTTACTGCTTCACTGAGGGATGCCTGACCTACGATTCACTGCACATACTTAAGTGGGCACTTTGAGAAATCCCGACACAGGCATACACGCACAGAACCACCACCACAGGCCAGACCGCCAACCTCCCCACCACCCGCAGGCATTCTCTCCCGCCCCTCTGCCCACCTCCAGGCAACTCTGATCTGCCGTGGTCACTGCCCCGCAGTCTGCACTCCGTGGGACTGTACGTAAGTGGACACAGTGTTTCTGGTTTCCCTCCCTCGCCCGTGTTCCCAAGGCATAACCAAGATGCACCCACGTTGTAGCGCCGGTGGGTGGCGGCTCGTTCCTTTCGCTGCTGAGCAGTAGTGTTCCGCCCTGTGTCTACACCACACCTGGTGGCCGTCACAGAGATGGCCTCTTGGGACACTGTGTGCACGTCGTCGAATGGACACGCCTCTCATCTCTCTGGGGCGGACACCCAGGAGGGGAGAACGTCCAGCCGGAGCGGCGGGACCACCTCATCCGCCCACCAGCACCACCGTCCTGCCGACACATGACACGGCAGCGTCTTTAACCGGAGCCGCTCTAACGGGCACGGAGGGGGACTTCAGGATGGCTTCGGTCTGCATTTCCCTAACGTCTAACGATGTGGAGCCCCTCCCACATGCTTGTCTGTCTGTCTGTATGTCTTCGCTGGTGAAATGTCTTAAAATCTCTTGCCCATTTTTTCAAAATGAGGTCTTCATATTGAATATGAGCTATTGTGGATACGAGAGCTTCGTCGCGTACGGCTCGCAAATATTACCGCTCGTTCTGGAGCTTATTTTCATCTTCCTCCTTGGGCTTTTGTTTTTGAGTAACCTCCACATCCAGCGCGGGGCCCAGACTCACAACCCGAGATGGACAGTCGTGCGCTCCACCAACTGGGCCAGCCGGGCGCCCGTTTACACCCTACAACAACGTCTCTCGAAGAACAGAAACTAGTTTCGACAGAGCGTATCAATACGTTAATTTATTGTGTTTCTTGTACTCTTAAGAAATCTTCACTGAAACGCAAGTTTCACTTCTAAACTTTAAGAAGCTCAGAAAGTTCTTTACACAAAGATGATTGCCTGCCCCTACCTACAGCACCAATCAAAGGCAAGCTTCACTTGCTTTGAAAATCTCCTTTCTGTGGCCTCTATGAAAACACGGCATGTCTCTAGGGGCAGTTGGTGCAAGATAAAACATGTAGCCCCAGACATGCCCGTATAAAGTGCAGTAGTGACTAAACCACACTGTATAGAATGAACCGTATGTAAGAGGAGAGAGCTAGCCTGTTTGCTCTCATGCGCATAAACTAGTTCTGGAAGGGCACAGAAGAAACTCGTGAGGACCACTGGTGGCCTCCGGGGAGGGCGCCTGTGTGACAGCTGCAGTGAGAGTTCTGTCTGTGCCCTTTGGTGTCTCTGAATTTACTTTCTTATAAAAATGTTTGTTGGTGTGTCTGGGTGGCTCAGTCGATTAAGCGTCCGACTTCAGCTCAGGTCATGATCTCGCAGTTAGGGAGGTTGAGCCCCCGTCGGGCTCTGTGCTGACAGCTCAGAGCCTGGAGCCTGCTTCGGATTCTGTCTCTCCCTCTCTGCCCTGCCCCTGCTTGCACTGTCTGTCTGTCTCTCAAGAATAAATAAATATCGGGGCGCCTGGGTGGCGCAGTTGGTTAAGCATCCGACTTCAGCCGGGTCACGATCTCGCGGTCCGTGAGTTCGAGCCCCGCGTCGGGCTCTGGGCTGATGGCTCAGAGCCTGGAGCCTGTTTCTGATTCTGTGTCTCCCTCTCTCTCTGCCCCTCCCCTGTTCATGCTCTGTCTCTCTGTGTCCCAAAAATAAAAATAAAACGTTGAAAAAAAAAATTTAAAAAAAGAATAAATAAATATTTTTTTTAATGTCTGTTCATCTTGAGAGAGTGAGCTGCGGAGGGGCAGAGAGAGGGGGAATCCCAAGCAAGCTCCTTGCTGTCAATACAGAGCCCAACGCAGGGCGTGATCTCTGGAACCATGAGGTCATGATCTGAGCAGAAATCAGGAGTCAAGACGCTTAACCGACTGAGCCCCCCAGGCGCCCCCCACCCCCAGTTGTTTTTCAACCACTGAATCAACATGGTCATTTCAGGGACCGTTACCCTCTTTACTCACACATGAGCAAACTTTGCGTGAACATTTCCATAATTGAAAGTGTTACAAACCTGAAAAACAATCATGGGACGATCTGGAAGGCCCAGGCTCAGACTGGTGCTGAGGCCACCACTCCCCAGGGCGGGGGGTGGGGCGTCCCCTTTACTAGACTCACCTTTCCAGTCGCCTTACAATCAGGGTGGAAAATTAAGTTTTCTCTAAAGAAAAAGCTTTCTTCCTGACTTTTCTCCATCTTCCGGACTGTCTAAACAGCCAGGGTCATCCGGACATCCAGTCACTGCCTGTGTGATGTCAGACACGAGGGAAAAATTACTACGTGTTACTTAGGGTGGGCTACGGATTTTCAGAGGCCACGGGCAGTGCAGTCGTGGATGAGAACTGCTGTCCCAGAAGGGAGGCTGCAGCCTGGACTCTATTCCCCCAGCCCCTCCTTTGACCTGGGAGTGTCCTTGGCCTTGTCCCCAGGGTCTGAGCCTCCTTCCTGTGACTCTTCCTGGCTGGGGCAGGGAGGCCTGGGACCTGCTGCGAGGACAGCGGCCCTGGCTGATTTGTCCCCAGGCATCTGCGCGGGGTTTTCCGGTTTGGGACAGTGTAACTTGGA